CCATACCTAAAACCACCCCCAAAAAAATTTGGTTGAAAAATATTAACATTTGGCTGAGCTGTGGCAACTTTTGTTTTTTGTTAAATTTTAGTGAAATTGGTACAATGAAAATTTGAAAAAACTATTTTTTCTCGAAATGGGGATTTTTGAGGCCTGATTTGTTTGATATGAGTTGTCCTATGATAGACCAATGCAATTCCGGTCATAGACCCCACCTCACTCAATTTGCACTGGAGGCTGAAGAATTTCTAGTAATTTTACCTAAAAATCGAAATATTAAACCTTGCCCCACCTTTCAAAATTCATTTCTAGGGCCCTGGCAACAACATAAAAAAAATCTGGGACGGAGTTTTTTATTTTTAGGAAATCGTTCCAGAAAGCGCAACTTTTGACTTGTCGATTTAGCTAAAACATTTGAAATTTCACTAAATGTAAAGTACGATGAGGTCAATCTTGCAATTTTAGTCTCTTTATGCAGTATCAGAGGCAAATGGAGTTTGAGGGGAGTAAAAAAGAACATAAATACAATTTGCAAATGTACTACAAACACCAACTTTTGACAGCTTCTTAATAGGAAGTCCAAGAAAATATAATACGTAATAATCAAGTGGATCTAGCATAATTGTTAATCGATTTTCACCTTTTACTTCTGATGTCTGTCACATTTTTGTCCACTTCTGTCCTGTCTTTCTCCAAATCAGTTTGGTGATGGAACCCAAACGGCAAACTCAACTCCAGACGGAACCAACCATAGAGAGTAATTCCAGCCCATGGTGGAACGAAATCTGGGTTTGGGTCACGGAATCGGTTCAAGATTTGTTGGGTCAATAGGTACCAGCAGGACATAGCAACCCTAGGTGCAAAGTGGGCTAGCTCAAAGGTCACTTGAGATATCTACATTTTGCTATGTTTGACTAATTTAATGGAAAAATGACGCTTTCTGATGACGCTTATTTCAAATTTTCATTGTACTAATTTCACTAAAATTGACCAAAAAACAAAAAGTGCCACAGCTCAGCCAAATGTTAATATTTTTCAACCAAATTTTTTTGGCGGTGGTTTTAGGTATAGACCAATGAATTAAGGGGAGGTTCTACTGAAAAAATGGCACTTTTCAAATTGAGCCCTAGTGTTAACATTTGTTGCATATGTGTAGTACTACATTGTTAATAGCCAAACATGAAATTTAGAGCCAAATACCTTCCTCCAAATCCAGTCGAAGAGGATTTTTCAGCCTATTTTAGCAATATCTTAAAAAATTCCCCTACGCAAAGTATTTTAACGTAAACTGATGTTCTGGACATTTTTCACTTCTTTGGCTCATATGCAATAAAGCGTGGCATCACCAAGACATGAGACCCATCAAATTTATTTTGGCACTGCTTATCAGAAAAAAAGACACTAAAATATCAGGATTTTGACCATTTTCTTGAAATTTTAGTGACATGCTATGTTGAAAACACAGCTTATGATTTTGCAATGGTCCCAGTATGTTACTAATGCCACGGTTTATCAATTATGAACCAAAAAAGTGAAAAATGCCCAGAACATCAGTTTACGTTGAAAAACTTTGCGTAGGAGAATTTTTCAAGATACGACTGGAAATAGCAGAAAATTCCTCTTCGACTGGATTTGGGGCTAGGTATTCCTTCCCAAAATTCAAATTTTACTATTTACTATAAAATACTTTAAATTTACAATGAACATGAAAAGTGGGACTCAATTTGAAGAAAGTAAGATTTTCAGTAGAACCTCCCCTTAAGACTGTTTGGAGCCAGGGGCGCCGGAAGTGTATTTCCTCAGGGGGGGCAAACAATTTTAAATCCTACGTTCCTAATTACCCCCCTCCCCCACCAAAAAAGGTGCTTAAAAAGACCCTACTCTTTCATGCACCGCCTCGGGAAGGCTTTGACCGCTGATAGTTTAGGAGCAGTGGTCTCGCAAAAATGGTCAAAAAGTGAATGAATTTCAGAAAATCATCGTTTTTGCTGACTTTGAGCGGTCACTGCATCCAATTTAGTTGCGGTCAAAGGCCTCCCTCGACGCCTTACTATTTTAAAGACCCTACTCTTTCATGCCCCGCCTCGGGAAGGCTTTGACCGCTGATAGTTTGGGAGCAGTGGTCTCGCAAAAATGGTCAAAAAGTGAATGAATTTCAGAAAATCACCGTTTTTGCTGACTTTGAACTGTCACTGCATCCAATTTAGTTGCGGTCAAAGGCCTCCCTCGACGCCTTACTATTCTTAAGACCCTACTCTTTCAGGCCCCGCCTCGGGAAGGCTTTGACCGCTGATAGTTTAGGAGCAGTGGTCCCGCAAAAATGGTCAAAAAGTGAAAGAATTTCAAAAAATCATCGTTTTCGCTGACTTTGAGCGGTCACTGCATCCAATTTAGTTGCGGTCAAAGGCCTCCCTCGACGCCTTACTATTTTAAAGACCCTACTCTTTCATGCCCCGCCTCGGGAAGGCTTTGACCGCTGATAGTTGGAGCAGTGGTCTCGCAAAAATTGTCAAAAGTGATTGAATCCCCGCAAGTATGATTGTCATTTCATTGGATGATGTTGATTATTTCACTGGTTACCAACTAGACGCGCAATGATTATCTTGAGTCGGGTACCCCTTGGAATATGCTGTCCCATTTTTACCCCGTGTCCTATAATTGCTCCAACTGACCCTAGGCTCGATTTTCGCAGCTTCCCACCAAAGTCCAGGGGGGGCGATGCCCCCCCTGCCAAATTCCAGGGGGGGCAGCCTGCCCACCCTGCACCCCACTTCCGGCGCCCCTGTTTGGAGCAAGTTCTGGGGGGGGTCGGGGTCAAACCCCGTTCAAGTTGACCTGAATTCGCCCAATGTATTGAGAAGGATTTTGGTCATGAAACAAAGAATTTGTTCTAAGATTTTACAATGCCTTCATTTTCTTTGTGTTACGAAGCGATTCGTCGAAGTGTTTTTGCATCTCCAATTTCCTACTGAGGAATGCCGTGCTGTCACAATACTGAGCTAATTATGACTACAAGGCATTTCTTAGTAGGAAATTGGGAATGCAAAAACCCTTTGAGGAATCGCTTCTTAATACAAAGAAAATAAGGCATTGTAAAATCTAAGAACACATGCTTCGTATCATGAAGCAAAATGCTCCGTATCATGAAGCAAAATCCTTCGTAAGACGAAGCATTCCTTCGTGAGACGGAGCATTTCTTCGTAAGACGAAGCATTTCTTCGTAAGACGAGGCATTTCTTCGTTGGACGAAGCATTTCTTCGTAATACGAAGCAATTCTACAATGTCTTCGTTTTCTTTGTAATTATGAAGCAAATGCTTCGTGGGCTTATAGGAGTGCTTGTGCTGGCGTTGCAGGCCCTGTTCCGGCGGAGACCCCGCAGCTGGTCATCAGCGGCACCTTCTCGCTGGCTGGCCCGGCCGGCGGTGCGGGGCAGGTGGAGCAGGCCTCGCGGCGGCAGCGAGGCGGGAAGGCGCGGCTCGCGTACAAGTGCGGGGAGTGCGGCAAGAGTTTCCGGGCCGAGGCGGACCTGCGGAAGCACCTGGCGGGGCACTCCAAGGCGGGGCGGCACGCGTGCGGAGTGTGCGGCAAGCAGTGGCGTGGGGCTGCGGATCTAATGAAACACGCGAGGATCCACACCGGGGAGAAGCCCTACCAGTGTGACGAGTGTGGGAAGAAGTTTAACCGGGAAAGCAATCTAACTGTGCACAAGAGGATGCATTCTGGGGAGAAGCCTTTTGAGTGTGACGAGTGCGAGAAGAAGTTCTCCGTTAAGCATGTACTAATCACACATAAGCGCACCCACACTGGGGAGAGGCCGTACGAGTGTGACGTGTGTGCGATGAAGTTCAGTTATAGTTCTAACCTCGCTAGCACAAGCGGATCCACACTGGAGAGAAGCCCTACTTGTGCAAGGTGTGCGGGAAGAAGTTCCGACAGCTGTCAACACTACGCACGCATGAGTCCATTCATGCACGACAGTAAGGTAAAAAATCAATTGTGGGTCACGAATCAATTGTGGGTCATTTTTTTCGACGGGTCACCGCAGACCCGACGGAGATTGAATCGATTTGAATTTCGCGGTAGACCTTCCTCCAACCTTTCTTTGTCTCCCCAAATAGCGTTTTTGTCCGAGCGACGACTGTGACAGCTCCTATCAGGCTTCAAAGGAAGGCCCTTCAAAAAGTCGTGAAAAAAGCGCCCATCCAACGAGGCGAAAAATCGTGTTTTTTTCAAATTGCCACCGTGAAGCTATTACGAGGTAAAATGGGACGCCCTTGCTGATTTAGGTTCATAATAGGTCAGGGAACATAAATTTACCATAGTACAGCCAAAATCATTCAATGCCATGGTGCGCGGGTGATGGCAAAGTAGCGTTCGCTACCATGTCCGACCCATAATTTTAGACGAATTTTACGGTAGTTTTTCTTATACTTTTTTTGTTTTCTGCGCTTCTGAATGACTGATGTATCACAGTAAATTCTATTTTTCTGCTCTGTCACATTTAGTACTACGATACGAAGGTTGTCAAGCTTAGGCTACAGCCCCGAATGACAACGCTAGCTCTTTCTGCCAGTCTGCCATAAGGCTTTTTTTGTTGGGGAGGGGGGGGCATTGCGGGGCTTACATAGCGCCCGGAAGGGGAACGCTCTCTAACTGCAGGCTAGGCACCCGAGGCCAGTCCGGCCCTGTTAAAATGAGTCAAATCAATCCCTACAGACTAAATATTCTGACTGAAATAGATTATAAACTGTAGCAATACCTCAGGATGAAAGGGTGTAGTGTTGGATTGTCTACCACACAGGCGGCCCTAGAATATGCACTATAAAAGTCTCGTCTCTAATACAGGACGTTTACCTCACATCTGTCTCACAGTGAAATAAGCCTGTTTATGTATTTTTCCTCTTTGAGTGAAAAACGTGCCTGCTTGGTTTATTGAGAACCAGGGACCTTTCATTAATGAAAATAAGAAAATATCTTGCAAAAGTGGTCAATTTACAAGCAAAAAGACGAAATGGCCCACAATTGATATGACCCACAATTGATTCATTGTGCTACAGATCCTGCAGTTTTCACGATTCCGAAAAATAAATTCAAAAGTGAATTCCTTTCGCATCTAAGCAAATCATATCAAAATTTGAGCTTTCTACAATGCTGACCCACAACTGGTTCCAAAAATCAATTGTGGGCCAAAACAGTCTATTTTTAAAACAGCCACAGCTTAGTAAATAAGGATGATAGACGGGGCTACTATGCTGCAAAACTTAGTCCAAGGACCATAGTTAAAGGCCGCACGTGCACTTTTGTCACCAGGTCAAAATTAAAGGCCTTAATTTGGAATTTTCAAAAATGTGACCCACAATTGATTTTTTACCTTAGTTCAGTGTAAAGCTGTGCAAGTGCGGCGTTTGTGAAAAGCTGTGCACTCTAGAGTTCTTACGGATGCCTTCATCCGTATTACAAAGAATTTCATCCGTACCTTACAAACTTTTTTGCGCAAGCGTAATACGGATAGCCTGGTTTGTAAGATACGGATGGCTTTGTCCGTAACAGATTTGACTTTGTAAGTACGGATAGTTTTACAGAATCCATAGAAAATGGATTGATTGCCATACAGTACGGATACAGAATCCGTAAAGTACTCATCGCCATACTGTACGGACACAAAATCCAGAAATTGCTCGTTGCCATACTGTATGGATACAGATTAGCAGTAAATTAAAAAAATTACTGCCAAAAATGTTTTTTATGCACTTGCAAATTTTTTTACAACTGTTTGGCTTGTAACAGAGCCAACTAGAATGAGTGAATCGCCTGAGTGGCACTTTTGCTGAACTATGGAGCAGATTTAACAGTAGAATAAGATGTACTCACCACCCAAACTTGGCGTTGACTATGCATCACTGCATTTAAATAATCCATCTCAGTAACTGAATTATTGAACCAAGCAGTAATTGTGGGAGTTCCAGAAACTTTCCCCTATTATTCACTATCAATGTTGTTTCTTTCATTCCTAGGTGAGGTGTCCTGATGAGGTTATATTGCCGGCTGATCGGATGCATTATGCTGGAGGAACCGAGTGACAACACAAATCACATGCACTGACTTCTTCTGTGTGCGCAAGCAATGTCATCTGTCCGGGACTTTGGGCTGGCACTCCACCGTTATTGCACAAATATTTTGTTTGATGGATCCCGACGCTGATCGACGCCAGACCAAAACAAGGGACTTGTAAACTGCGGTAGGGGTTCGAGGGGGGTAAAGCTCAGCGCCGCCTGGCCATGCGTGGTGGCCACACTTGGAACTACAGTTGAGTTGTCAGTAGCAGCCAGTGCACACTTCAGCCCGCAGGGTGCGCCACTGTACATCCGTGCCCCCTCCTCACCCCGCGACTGGCCATACTCCTGGTCTAAAGACTTTCAATGCTACTTTTGAAGCGGTGAGACTACTGTGAAGGGAATGTCAGAGAATAAATAAAAAATAAACAAATTATAAAACAATGTGTGATGTTTTACTTTAATAAAAACATTAAAATGTAGATTACAGTACATACCAGAATTAATGTCGTTATTTACAAATGACTAGGTGACATTACATTTCACAGTGACAAAGTTTCATGACCTAAATTATATCATGATATGCCTCGATATAGGTATCAGCAATCAGGTTGCGAGGCGACAGGTACATACCATTGCCAGCAGGCCAGGGGGCCATTGGTCGCACTGCTGGTAACATAGAGGTCCTGAATGCTCTAACAGTTGGCTCAACCTGATCAGCACCAATAAGAAATGCTGCAAACCCTTCATCATAAGTCACTTTGACATCCTCAGTGATAACAAAGATTTGTGTACCATCATTATAAAGTGAACAAATCTTCCCAAACACAGGGAGACCATTCTCATGGATTGGCAGGGCACAATACAGTCCAACACTGAATTTGAAGCCCCCTGATGTAGCTTTGGAGACTTTCTGTAACACATCATCTTCCGATATGCCAAGCTCCGAGAGTGGGATGAACTCTGGCAACAAACTGGCTACATAGGACTTCCCACGTGGACAGCGCATCTCTTCTTTGACTGAAGTAGTGACATCAATCAGGTCTGCTGCATGTACAATTTGATGCAGGTTTGCAAATGTGAAAGGGAGGTTTTGAAAATTGTTACAAATAGCGCCAAACCTCTTTGATAGTGCATTCTTTGCCTCAAACCTGTGTGCAAGAAAAGAAAGGTAAAATATATTAATGATGCCAAAACATTAATGCCAAAAATAATGTAAATAAAAAAAAATAAAAAAATAAGTGTTTTTACCTCATAAAGAATGAGTGGTCCATATCGTCTAATAAATTTCAAGTAGTGCAACAAGTAGTGGTGCTTGAATAAAGGCCTCACCACCTTAACCCTTCTCTTCTTTTTCTTGCTAGGTCTAGGATTATTGCTGGCATCTTCCTCTCTGACTCCAGGTGGATTGTCTTCCTTTTCCTCTTCTTGTAAAAAATCTTCATCACAGTCAGAGTCGTCTTCCTCTTCTTCTTGTGGGGCTTGTTGGTTTGATTTGGATGCAGTTTCCGGTGGTGGATAAAGGGTAAAGAAAAGTGTGTGGTGTTCTTCAATTAGCTGTCCTAAGAGGTCTAAGTCACCGTCACCTGGTTCAGTGCTAAATACAATATCACTCAGTCTTTTCAGAAGAACAAGAAGTTTGCGATGCTTACAATCTTGAGGAATTTTGGAGAACTTGGAGATAATAAATGGGAAAACACGGAGAAGGCACCAAGTTTGAGCGGCTGACTGATGCAGTACGTAAGAAATGGGTTTCTTCAATGAGTCAGAGGTGAAGTTGGGTGATGGCTGGTTCTTAACATCTGCTGGCCCATAGTTGAAAGATTTCAGAGCAGCATTAAAATCTTCAATTTCAAAATATTTTTTAACAACACAATATTCATGTAACACCAACTTTATTTCCATTGGTGCAATGCCCCGCAGGATGTCATGCATTGGATCTTTAATCATAGCATCTGGGAATTCAGCGCAAGTGGACTTTTCAATGAGGAGACTGCTCCTCTTCAAACCTGACGAAAGAACTGCAAATTCTTTACCTTTGGTGCGTAGCTCTTCTAAGTTTACTGCATGAACTTCTTTGCTGCGTTCCTTCCCCATTGCCAAAATATTTTGGTGTAGTTCTTGCTTCAGAACAAGGCACTGTGAACAAATACGGTTGGCTGATGGGCAGCATAAACCGAGTAGTTCATGGGCGGCAAGTGTATCAGCTGCAAATGCGATGAGGCTTGCTCTCAGGGTGTAGGGTTTTCCATCCACAGAGATTGACACACCTTCTTCTGTTTCCAGCTGAGAAAGCTCAGCAAAAAAAGGCTCCAAAACAGCATCTACCCCTGTACCTTCAGGAAAGTCTTCTCTGTAGGCATATGAATTTAGGTGAATGGAACGAAGGCGAGAATTTTCTTCAATGGGCAAATTCTGTACCAGGAAGCAGTCAGTCAAGATTTTATGGATTGATGTCTTGGCCCCTTGTGCATTGACTACTTCACTGTCATCCACCCATTTCACTAGTCTAAGTGTGTGGGGGTACTTGGATATTAAAGGGTGGTCCTTGCAAAGAGATCCATCTAGGTAGGACCGAAGGCGACCATCAGAACTAGGAACTTCACTATGAATGAGCTTGAAAAAAACTGGATTATTTAGAACCACTGTCAATGTCTTAATCAAAGAGACATACTGAAAATTGATTGCAATATCAACCGGTAGCCTAAGTATGGAATTTCTTTCAGCCCGATCTTCAATACGCCTGCCAAGTGGCTTTGGTTCAGGTTTTACCAAATTATAGAGATCTTCAAAGGTATCCATCTGCTTTTCAGAAGTTCTGAGATTCCTAAAAGGATCATAAACATAGATGTTATTTACACAATCATTTATGACTTGTTCAGTAATGCCATTTGCTCTCAGATTTGACATGATTGTTTCTTTAGTAGCTGACACAACACTGTTTATTAACTTTGTTGTTTCTGCAATGACTCGTGATATAGCAAGCCCAGGGACATTGCCATGTCGCCAAAGCTGAAGTACTAAAAAAGCAGCAGCTGCTTCCAATTTAGTATTAAAATCATTTGGACCTTCACGACCATCATTCTGTTCACCACAAACAAGGTAGTCCATTTCATCATTTGAATTACTATCCACATCACCGTTCCCAGCATTATCTTCCCCAACAGCTGGGTCAATAAAATTGTCTTGAAACGATGCATTTCCAAGAGAGTTTCCTTCATTGGAGTTTCCTTCATTGGAGTTTCCTTCATTGGAGTTTCCTTCATAGGAGTTTCCTTCTTCAGACTCCGCAACAGCATCACACAGATTTCCATGATGCACCTCAAGGTGTCGGATGAAAGACGACTTCACATGATACAACTTTCTGTCAGTTGCACAGTTACCGTTTGCACAAATAAAGTTAGATTTGTGATTGTGATCCTTCAAATGCTGTTGAAATTCATTAAGGCCTCCAGGAACTAAGCCTTCACAATGAGCACAGAATAGCATGGCTGTGAAGTAAAACAAAAATAGATAAATAAGAGGAAACTAAGCAATTTTGCTGCTGGTGAAAACATAATTAAAATTTCAACTTTACCTTCCTTTAATAGTGAACAAGTGGTGAAGTTCAATTACAAAGCAGTCGTCCCAGAAATATCTTTCTTTGGCATTCACATTGCACAAATAGTGGGAGATGAGTGATTGTGATCCTTCAAATGCTGTTGAAATTTACGGAGGCCTCCAGGCACCGTGCTTTAACAAGAAGCTCAGTACAGCATGGCTGTAAAGTAAAACAAAATATATAAATAAAAGGAAATGAAGCAAATTGGTGCTGGTGAAAACTTAATCAAAACTTTAACTTTACCTACCTAGAAGTGAACAAGTGGCTAAGTTCAATTTCAAAGCAGTCGTTCCCAGAAATGTCTTTCTTCAGCATTCACATCACTGCAGCAGAGTCCTAAAACACAAATATATCCATTGCTATTTACTGATTCAAAAGTCTTAGATTCGTCCTCAAAAAATTAACATCGACAGTTTTTTAAAAGAAAAATTGTACACAAGAGTTACCATAAGTTTCAAATCACTTGACTCATGTGTTATGAGGTTATGAACTTGTTTATGCTGGCTGAGACGGAGGGGTGAGGGGTGAAGGGTGAAGTCTCCAGTAACACCACCACCACCACAATAAAATTTACTTTCTTGGCCACAGTTTTACGAGATACCTCATTCTAATGGCTACATTAGTGGAAGGTCGATTGATTGGAACACCCGATTTCGAACTTGGACTCAACTTAAGTAGCCTAAGTAAACCATCTAAGATTTTAATTTTTAAATGTTATGTTGGCAGCGCGCATGTCTCCCCTACGCGCTCGATTCAAACGCGGAAAGTTACCCAACCAGACAATATAGCTGAATAGCCCGCCCGCTCAAGGGCTTTTGAGTGCTGTGGTTTTGAGGGTTTGAGGTATGAAATAAAACGGCAAGAACAAGCCTGATATTTGTCTATTCAAGGGTCCATACCTTAGAGGCCAGACTGGCGCAGAAGAGAATGGTGGGTGATTACAAAGGAAGGATTAGAAATTATCTCACAAACATTTAGATTCGAGTCAAAGTTTAATAACAACACATTTAGATTCGAGTCAGAGTTTAATAACAACTGCCTTAAAAAGAAAAAAGGTTCCAACATCTTTATTAGATATTCATCAAGTTACGAATGATAAACTTAATAATTTTAAATAAGTCCAAAATTGACAAGAGAAAATAATTGCCTTCTGGTAGGAAATAATAAATGCAGGCTGCAATGAACCAATGGTTATCATGAAAGTAAACTAAACAATGTCAAGCAGCTAGAGAGTTCAAAGGCTAGTCAAATGCAACCATTTCTCTGTAAAAACTGAGAGGCGTTTGTTTTCAGGAGGAAGATGATAGATGTGTGCTGCAATGAATCGATACACATTTTTCCACGCTAGGCAGTAATGTACATTTAACACAAAATGCACCTTAAATAATAAATCTAATGCCCGAATTGCTTCCGTGTTTCTGGGCAACATTACATACTGGCTATCACCCAATACAATGAAATATGTTTCCACCTTATCACAAGTGCCTATTGCTAGAAGGTAGGGTTGAATGGCCATCTTCGCAAGCTGCCTCCTGGTTTCAATGCTGTTTTGAACATTTGTACCAACCTGGTAATATAAAAATGTCAAAGAAAAGCAGGGTGGTAAAACCTCTTAACACATTGCAAAAAATGAGTGAACTTACTGGCAAGACCTCAATTAAGTCAGAAACTTTTCCAACTGGATCCATTAAGTTCTCCCACTTATAGCATTTGACAGGTTTGGGGAGGTATTTCTTGAGCACCAACATTGCGTTCAAACAGACTGCAAATGAATTCAAGATAAATTTTGAATTAATCAAGGCCCAAATTTACATGATTTAATCATTTGAAATGCACGCTTACTATCTTTGAAGGGAAGGCAGTCAGTGTATTTAACTGGGTCCTCTTCTGCCAGTGTAACTAACTTTGATGCAACATCTGAAAACTGCATCAAGAATTCATTTTCTTTCCCTGAAAATATTCCTCTGAATTCCAGTTCAACCTTGGAACAGAAAAACTTAGATAACAACAGCAGTAGAATTGCAACTACATAAAAAGAAGTATGTTCTTTATATAGCTTACCATTTCTCCCCTGAAAGATCTTAAATGGTGAAAAACTTGTGTCACAGCACTGACAGTGTATTTCCCCTCAAGTATCAGTTGTCTCCTTTCCTGAAAAGTGGCTTTGAGCTTTGCAATAATTTCCATCTTGTTTGTGTCATTAGCAGCTAATAATTTGAGAAACTTTGCCTGAACAAACAGAAATAATTCATAATTACAAAAAACATTCCGGGCAGTTGCAAGATGCACACTCAGAAAACTTACTTCTTTGCTCAGGACAGAATCAGGGATTTGATTCAATAATGCTAGGTCTGGAACAAGATTCTCTTTGTTAGCAGCTTTCTTACGTTTGTCTGTTCCTCCACCTCGGAGCCTCTTTTCCTTTTGCGCCCTTTGTTTGTTTTGAACAATGTTAGCAATTTTTCCTATGTTGTTTGCACGATCATAGAGCCAACCCTAAAAACAGAAATAGGAAAATAACAGTTCAATTTGCATTCTTGTAATTACAGAAAATATGAAACACTCAGACCAGTTCATTCAAGATGCATTCGGACTTGGTTGACCTCAAGAGAAATGACACATTGCTTTCAGAATGACTAAGCTATGGCCACTTACCCATGGTGTTTCACCTTCCCTCGACTTCTGTGCTAGTTTCGGGAAACTGGCCACCAAGCTCACCGCAAGAGATTCCCTCATCTCTGGAGACACAAGATTTGGATTTCTGACAAAAAGGAAAAACCAACTTAAACAATTAAAAGGAAATACCTTCAAAATACAATTTTAAACATTATTCCCAAAGAACTTACGGAACCAGAGAGTACAAGTGGTCTACAAGACACCTAAGCACTTTGTCCAGTAATTTGCCAAATAGAACCCCATCCCGCTGCAGTAACATCCACTCATTTTCCAAGTCTTCCTCCTTTTCTATAATGCTGCTGATTGAATACTGTAACAAGAGCAAAGGAAAGCAAAAGTAGTTTCAAGTTTAACTAAAGCATGATTAAGTGACACTTCTGCTACTCACAGTATAATTTATGGGACTTTGGAGGAAGTCCTTGATGAGAGCAATATGTGAACGATCCTGTCAGGTAAATGAATATATTAGTAAGCTTCTATAATGAAATAAAAAGTAGTATCATAAAACAACATTTATTTTTAAATACCAAGTTAGGGGCCTCAAGGAACGGTCGATGTTCCTCATCAATGTCCTTCTTAGGAAGCTATAATACAAACCATACAACAAAACATTTAGATAACAAAAACAGAAACAGTGGCCAATATACAACATATTGATTACTTACATCCTTTGATTTCTGTTTAGATATCACTCTATTTGAACATGAAGAGGTTGATGGCCTACTTGTACCAGGCTGTTCAAGACATGATTCGCCTGCATTGGGCTTGGATTTGGATGGTCTTGTTAAATTTGATTTAGAGACTGAAGGAACATTCACAATAGTCTTGGAGGTTGACGCTCCAGACGAATGACTTTCGACATCCTTAGAAATTGACAAGAGAAAATTAGTGACAAGTACAACGCAGGAAATCAACAAACACTACATCAAAGACAATCACCTTGCGTGGGTTTGAAAAAGTACGTAAACTTGCTCTCCTGCATGATGAACCATCATCATTGAAGTCTGGTGACTCATTTACATTAATTTGGGACTGAAAGTAAATTCATATTACAAAACAAAACGACGAAAAGATGAGAATAAAGCAGGTTTGCTGGAAACAGTAGGAACCAGCACATTAAAAAAACCTCCATACCTTCTTGGCCTGTTCAGTGGATGATTTGTTGCCACCTGAACGCTTAGGACGTTTTGGCTCCGGGGAGGAGTCAAAAATAAAATCTGGCTTTTTGCAGGGGACACCTATCAAATACAACCATGTCAAATTGAAAGGGAAACAACATGATCAACTATGACTTAGATAATTTCTTCAACTACGCACCTAGGGAAACTGCTTTGTTGTAATTTTTAATTTGAGTTTTAGCCACAAGTTTGTGGTATGAAGCCATCTTTCCTATTTGCTCTGGTGTCAAATGATCCAGCAAAATATTATCACTACCATTACTTGAGCTTTCCTGAAAGTAGAGCAAATGCATTAATGTCCTGGGCAAAATAAAAAATAAGAACAAAATTTAAAATTAATACTTACATTGCTGTGATTTGAATCATTCATGTCATCCAAATCATTACCCTCATTGTCTCTTTCTTCAGAGGAACAGCAAAACTACATAATTGAGAAAAATGAATGAAAAGATAGTCCAATTGCTTTAGAACACATTGGTGTCTTCCTAGGTTGAAATGCTTACCATGTTTGAAGGATTGGTGGTGTCCTCATCAGAAAAGGACTGAAACATTTTTAAAACAAAGTATGAAAAGAGATCAAATAATAAAGAAGACAATCAATGATCAGGATACTCACCATATCAGTGGGAACCACATTTTCAATTTTGTCTTTTGAATGTAAAAGAGACTGCAAACACATAAAACACATGCATGTGAAAAATAATATTTTTGAAGGTAATAGACTTCTTAGACTAATAGCAGGTGGAAGGCTTCACTACGCTCAGAGAAAGTTTGTTCCTACATACCAAATAATCCTCGGACTTGTCATTCGCCGAATTGCTGGGACCTGGTCTACCAAGCATCGAATCATTTCTATCTGATTTAAGGGAACAGGCCTGTAACATTTCAAGAGCATCTGTGATTATAACTAACACATTTTTCAAGGGAGCAATTATTGTTCATGCAATTTATGCTCACCAAGCCGTTGGTGAGAGCTTCCTCGATATCAAGGAAATCACCCATGGTAAGGCTTAACTGATTGCGGTACTCAATTTCCGTCTTAAGTTTGAGAACATGCCTGCCCGCTAAGCGTTGGTCTGCAACCAAATAGAGAGACACACTTGTGAAAGACGATGCACAAAAAGAGTTGAGTTTGAAACTAACCCACGCTGAGAAGCCCAAAGGAAAAGTACAGTAAAATAAAAGGGGCAGTACTCACTTATAATTATATCCAGAACTTCTTTCTCCAAACCTCCATCTCGCAACGTTTGGATAAGTTCCTCACGTGTGAAGGACCCAACCTTGGTAAACACATCCATTCCTGAAACAGAAAAAAGAAATGGGCAACAGCGAGGTTTGAGCTAGACCAAATGCAATGCCACCTCAATGCAACAGGTGATGCATCAAGTTATAGCACAGACAAGCAAATGCATAGAGAAAATCAAGCCAAAGCAGAGGAAAAAACAGATGTTGCGAGAAAAGTCGGTCAAAAAACAAAAAAAGAACATAGCAATAAAATATTTCATGAAGAAAAGGTTAAGAGCATGAACACCGGCACACGCCGAGTGCTTCAAAATAAAGTCAAAGGACGGTAGGACGTGTAGGTTAGGTTGGTGCTGAGTGCACTGCTGACAGACTGATTCCGAGAGTCGTGCTTTCGGTCCCCCGTCTCTCTCGCACTCAAGGGGGGCTCTGTGTAGGTGCGAGAGAGACAGAGCGACAAAACGAAGTACAGGGACGGTATGCCCTGTAGGCAGACTGATTCCCGGAGTAATTTTCGTCGCTGTCTCTCTCGCATCTACACAGAGCGCCCCGGCCCCATGAGTGCGATAGAAACAGCGACGAAAACACGAAAACGTAACGAAAACGACTCTCGGGCAGTGGAGGCGAGGCGGGGCGGGTGGAGATGGGAGAGGGGAGAGGAGGGGAAGTAGAGGGGAAAGGATCAGAAAGACGGGCGGGAAAAACAAAACGAAATTCTTCATTACTTAAGGCGGTAGTTCAAAAGCAGAATGCTATTTTGTTACTCTGAAAGCAAAGAGACTTTGACGAACGTCACAGCTAAGGATTCGCTTCGCTCAGGTGGAGAATGGGGCGAGCATCTAGGTCTGTTTGGCCGTTTGGCCCAGGAGCAGGAGATCGGCTTGGTTTAACAGCACCGAGTGGGATGAAGCTACTGTGCCACAGCTACTTTGTCACGTTGAAAGAACTTACCGAAGCGCAGTACGCTAGCCGATACTGACTCACAAACTAAACTTTCGTTCCTCGTATGGATCGCACTCGACTCTACTTAACCGTCACTTCCAATGCCAAACTGCCACCGTAGAATTTCAAATGTTCGTGCCCGTCGCCCAAGACAGGTGTACCAACATACCAAAGTCTAAATTTCAGAGAACTCTATTAAACTGGGGATGGTTTAGAAAATCTTAGCATTATCTTCACGTAATTTTTCATGAACTGGGATGAGGTGCTCTACATTCTGTCTGACGTCGGTAGGAAAGATAGTTAGGCAGATTGATAAATTCATCTTAATTTTTCTCATTATCGTTCCGCCTAATTTCTCATACAAGAAACAAACAACAAGCAAAGACGGTATGAGAACTTTAGCCTCACGGGACACTTCTTTGTTTATGTTTAGATTCTACTCGTAGTTCAGTGTAAAGAGAAGAAACCTTTATGATTTGAAAGTTTCTTATTCCTAAAAGTAGTAATTAACTACTTCTTTGAGGAGTGATGCGTTCTCATGTGAAAACTGGTAGGCTGTCTGTCTTGCTACCACGCACTTTTCAGCTTTAGAACATTGGGTGTTGAAGATGCTTTTGGGTATCACAGGTAAATTCTCTGCTTCCTAACCATACACCAAACAACATATTTATTTTAATTTCGTATTTGATAAAAATTTGAGGTTAGATTTCCTAGAATGTCATTTGATGACAGCCTAAATGACACGATGAAATTTTCAGTCTGGAAAATATGTGAATGATAGAATACACAGAAGTAGTGTCCTTTGTTTGCAAATGAAAACTGAAAAAATATGACATCATTATTACATTAAGACCAATATCATTGGTCTTCATGCTTGTAATTACGGATTGCTAGGTTTAGGTCATGACTACGGACAAGTTGAGTTTATAATACGGCTAGGTTTAGTTGCCGTAATTATGGATTAACATTTGTGATTGTATTTACGGATAATTTTGTCCGTACAGAAATTCTCTGAACATGGAGATTCATATTATCTGTAATACGGCTGTCAAACTCCGTAATACAAACAAACCCATCCGTAATTACAGTGAATCAATTTTATCCGTAGCTTACGGAGATGACTTATCCGTAAGAACTCTAGAGTGTGAGGTCACTTTCGCTTTGACGCGGCGGAGAGGACTTTTGAATGCGACGTGGCCAGGAAGTTAACACATCGCCACGCTCGCAAGCGCAATGTTTCGCAACTACAGTTCAAACATTTTTTTAAAATGATTATTTTCTGAAAGCGATCATATGGTTGTCTTTGACATGTTGAGCCATAATTATCGGCTTTTCTCATTATATGACACTTAACTTTCGCGTCGTACAGCAATATTTTGTTAATAGTAGTAAATATAATTGATTCTGAATTGTTTTATGTTTCACTTTTAAAACTCAGTTGTTCTGTTCCCAGAGACGCTAAACGCTTTCACTCGCACGATGTTCATTGCCTTCAACTGCCTTCTTTTTCCCAACGCGTCTGATTTTTGCGTTTTGTTTCAGGACCGGGACTCTCCCTGCAGTCACGCTGAAACGAACCCCACAAACTTCCCCGCTGCCCCTACACTCTAAATGTCTGACAATGAAATTTGACCTATGTTATTCGTTGCAATGAACTCGGTGCAAGCATAATACGAAGCAATATTCCTTCGTAATACGAATCTTTTTACCTTTTTCATTGTAAGATACAAAGAAAAACCTTTGTAATACGAAGATAAACCACCTTCCTATTATGCTTGCGCCATTTCCTTCGTAGTATGGGAAATTTCTTCGTAAGACATTTAGAGTGTAGCAGAGTCGAGTTCGTTTGAACGTGTAGAAGCTGATTTACGGCCGAGTCGCATCCGAACGAAAGCGGCAACGCTCGAAGGAGCGCAACATTTGGTGGCGCTTGCCTGAACGCGTCGTCACGCTCCTGCGACGAGGAGTGTGGCAAGGGAAAGGGCGCCGACTTCTTGCCACTTCAGATTTGCGATGCGCTTCTTTCAAGCGTGCGCTTGCATCACGAGTTTCGAGTTGTTGACGTTGCGTTGCAGCTAACTGTGATCTTATGATTTTAAAATAAACGGACCTCTTAAAATTTTGTGTGCTTTTCATGATGACCTTAGGTGCAGTAACTGTCTAAGTCTGCTTCTCGGGTAGTTTTATTAGTCATAGGTGCTTTGCATGGCTTGTTGGATGCTTTGGTTGTTGGTTGGTCCTGCAGGTCGCAGGCTGAGTCTCTTGTCCACGGTTCCTGCGGGCCAGCCCACCGTGAGGACTGGGAGACTGGCCCGGCGTCCGTCGCACTTTTTCGCTATCTGATTCTGAAGTCCGCCTTGCTTGCAGGCTCCGTGAAGGCGGAGGACCCAGAGAGCCCAGAGACTGGCGGCCGAGACCGCGGAGTGGACGAGGACGGCCATCCCGGAGGAGAGGGTGAGTGGGCAGCCTCCCGAGCGGCACTGCACTGCCACCGTCGGGTTGATTTGTACTTCTCTTATCTTGTTGGGGGCCACAACTGATTTGGCGGACAAACCATGAGAGAAGGGCGCCCTGGAGTCCCAGCTTTTTCGGGCCGGGACGCCGCCTGGCCGAGGTTTGCACCACTTTGCGGCTAAACGGCTCATCGCACAACATTTCTGACAAGCTCAGAAGATTCAGGAAGGTTTTTTACATGCCCCGGCGTCTTTACATTTTGATTTGGTCAACCGGGGACCGAACGCGGCGAGCCTGAAGGGCGGCAGTGTGGCGCGGCCGAGGGTCCGCAGCGGCTGGCTGCCTGATGGCTGGCCGCCGGCTTCCCCCACGCTACCGCTACAGGCCAGTAGACACCGATTTCTTGGTTCAAACTTGCGTTAGGTGTGATATTACACGCTGAGACGAAGACAACGTGTCTTTTTCACCGTTATTTCTTCTGAAAAGGCACGAAATATTCACCAAGCGGTAGGGTGGGCGTAGCCGGCGGCCAGCCATCCAGGCAGCCGGTTCTACGACGGTGCAGCCGCTGCGGACCCTCGGCCGCGCCACACTGCCGCCCTTCAGGCTCGCCGCGTTCGGTCCCCGGTTGACCAAATCAAAATGTAAAGACGCCGGGGCATGTAAAAAACCTTCCTGAATCTTCTGAGCTTGTCAGAAATGTTGTGCGATGAGCCGTTTAGCCGCAAAGTGGTGCAAACCTCGGCCAGGCGGCGTAGTCGTATAATGCGTACTGTCGGTGTACTTGTAGTTGGAGGGTTTAAATGTAATAACTCCTACTAAACCGAACCAGTCGCTTACGGCTGAGTGTTGCTCGGACGGGGGGATCAAGGCTATGCTAACTGAGTAAATAGGACTTGGATCTTTGGGAAAGGAGGAACCACCAAGTACTCACTCCAGATGTGGTGCTGTCGAAGGCCCTGACACGTCTGCCTGCGTGTCGCTACCCGCGAGCTGGCCAAGCCCAGAATCGCAAGCTAAGCAACAGTGTCGCCAGTTCGTCTTTTCTAGCCCGCGCGATTCAAACTCGCGCCATCCCTGAAAGGCGTCCCGGCCTGAAAAAGCTGGGACTCCAGGGCGCCCTTCTCTCATGGACAAACTGATGTAGGCAAAATGGCGCCTTTTCGATTGCATCAGGTGGTTTTTCAGTGCATTTTTCTATGAGTAATTGTACCATTGCCGTCGTCACGTCCATTTCCCGTTTTCAAATCTTCTTTGGGGCCTTTTTTATCATCGTGGCAAATTTGAATGTCGTTTACGGGTGGAAAATGCTTTTAGTTTTAATCTACTAGTGAAAGCATCATATGTGCTCAGTTCAACGATGTTTGCTGGTTCGTATACCGGTTCAGGTCAATTTCTCCCAACTTAATATTGTCGTCATTGAAAGTGCCTTTGGCTTGTGCTGGCGTTGCAGGCCCCGTCCCGGCGGAGACCCCGCAGCTGGTCATCAGCGGCACCTTCTCGCTGGCTGGCCCGGCCGGCGGTGCGGGGCAGGTGGAGCAGGCCTCGCGGCGGCAGCGAGGCGGGAAGGCGCGGCTCGCGTACAAGTGCGGGGAGTGCGGCAAGAGTTTCCTGGCCGAGGCGGACCTGCGGAAGCACCTGGCGGGGCACTCCAAGGCGGGGCGGCACGCGTGCGGAGTGTGCGGCAAGCTGTGGACTTCGGCTGTGGATCTGCAGAGGCACGCAAGGATCCACACCGGGGAGAGGCCGTACCAGTGTGACGAGTGTGGGAAGAAGTTTAACCGGGAAAGCAATCTCACTGTGCACAAGAGGATTCATACTGGGGAGAAGCCTTTCGAGTGTCACGAGTGCAAGAAGAAGTTCTCCCATAAAAATGTTCTAATCGCACACAAGCGCACTCACACTGGAGCGAAGCCGTACGAGTGTGACGTGTGTGCGATGAAGTTCAGTCATGGAGCTTCCGTCGCTAGACACATGCGGATTCACACTGGAGAGAAGCCTTACGTGTGCAAGGTTTGCGGGAAGAAGTTTCGACAGCAGTCAGCACTACGCAGGCACGAGTCCATTCATTAGGGACAGTAGTTCAGTGTGAAGTAGTGCAAGTGCGGCGTTTGTGATAAGCTGTGAGGCGCTGGTCACTTTCGCTTTGACGCGGCGGAGAGGACTTTTGAATGCGACGGGGCCAGGAAGTAGTCACATCGTCACGCTCGCAAGCGCACCGTTCCGCGAGTGCAGTTCAAACATTTTGTTTATGATTATTTTCTGAAAGCGGTCAAATGGTTTTCTTTTGTAATGTTGAGCCACACATCCGCTGACCTCGTTAGACACTGAACTCTTGCGTCGCACAGTAATATTTTGTAATTAATAAATCAGTTTGGTTCTGAATTTTTTGAGTGATTTACGTCTACGTTGTTTTGTTCCCAGAGACACTGAATGCTTTCACTCGTCCGATGTTCATTGTCTCCAACTGCCGTCTTTTTCCCAACGCGTCTGATTTTTGCGTTTTGTTTTAGGACCGGGACTCACTGCAGTCACGCTGAAACGAACCTCACTAACTGCCACGCTGCTCCAAGCAGAGCCGAGTTCGTTTGAACGTGAAGAAGCTGACTTACGGCCGAGTCGCATCCGAACGAACGCGGCAACGCACAGTGGGTCAAAACGGTAAAAATAGGGAAAAAAATATTTTCGTACGCTGAATTACTCTCCCGACCGGAGCCTGAGGTGGCCAGATTCGGATTCCCCAAGAAAATTTGAGTCAGAATCATGAAAAATAGCCGTGGCTTTTTGAATACCCGACGATGTGTGGGTTCACTGTTAAAAAAATTTAATTACATTTTCATTACATGGTAGTGAAGCTATAATCATTACAATGTAATTGAAGTTTTCATTACATATATGTTATTAAAATTTTCATTACAGTGTTATGAACGAATGTAATGAAAATTTTAATGACAAAAACGTTATGAAAATGATGAAAGCTGACGCAAATTACGCAACTTTTCGTTTCGAATTGACATAGGTTAGAGTGGATTCACAACGACGCTGACCGCAGAGAAGAGGTAAAAATTGAGTGACCGAGGTCGACTCACGTCTGAGGCACTTCACTTGCCTGAATAGGGTCAGGGCGGGGAAGAACTGGACGTTTTGCAATCTTTCTCGATTTTGACTCTAATTGACTATTCTTAGCCAATGCATCCGTTGGGTCTGTTGATCGAGCCTCAAAGAAAGACATTTCAACCCTAAGCGAGTGCGTTTGCGGCTTCATTCAGTAATAAATGAGAAAAAACGGTGTGCGATTCTTCCCCGTCGAAACGGGGAAAAATCGAACACCGAAGGGGAAAAATCGGACATAGGCTTTAATTTAACAAAAACCTATGAAAGTAGGTCAGAAATCTCTTGAGAACGATATTTGGGGGTAACACTTGCGATACCCACTGAAGCAGGCGCACGAGTATTCCTAGGTAGACAGAAATCATCGTAGCATTGTTAGGGGTCCGTGGCGGCACGTTTTGGAGGTTAAATGACCAAAATGTATGAAATCGTCAACAGCCGTGTTTGGTTTCCCACTAAATGTTGGGAAATGCTAAAATACACTTGTTACGACCACTTTGGTGCGATGTTAGGGCAATTCGTCGATTATTATAGAAAAAAGAGGTGTTCGATTTTTCCCCGCACCAGTGTACGGTTTTTCCCCGTTTCGTATTTAACCCTTCATATGTAATCCAGCTGGAAATCTGCTAAAACATTTGAACGTATCTTGGGCTCCACACTTCCAACTTTCGTTTACAATAAGAATATTCGTCACAGTAGGCTCGGAAAGTCGTTAAAAAGAGATATTGCGGGCACCAACTTTGAAAGTTTTTAAGGTGTTTTAAACGAGACCTCGTTTAAAGGTGACTTTGAATACTTTCCGGTTCAAGTAGGCTAAATTCCTCTTAAACACAATCTAGCAGATCATCAATAAGCAATACTGAATACTTTGCACGTCCCAAAACAGGCAAATTTGTGGCGAAAGTGCGGTGTGCGTTTCTTACCCAACTTGCAGGTGTCCGGTTTTTCCCCGCCCTGACCCTAAGGGAGATCGGGTGCTGGCCCTACCAAACGGCAGCCCGTAGACGCCATCGAGCAATATCAGAAAAACCTATTTTGTCACTTTAAATATCGCTCTTTTCCGCCAAACACTTCGCCATTAGTTTAACAATACAGCACTTCACATGGAACACAACCAAATTTTAGAATATCTTCTCACGTTTTAATATTTTAATACAAAATACAGACACTGTTAAAAAATTTTGCTGAAAATTCAGACTATTTTGACTGAAGTAAATATGCAGAACATCCTACTGAAAATTCAGACTAAATCCTGGTCTGAAATTTTCAGACTTACATAAGTCTTAACCTTTCAGGCAGGTCGTGGTCTGAAAAATTCAGACAAAATTTTCTCAATTATTAGATTTTTTGACTGTATGTAAGTGGCAGCAGGAAAGTGTTCCCCTTCACTCAGTGAAATAATAATGTTTGCATCCGAACCTCAAAGGAGATACGTTCTCCAGTAGCCCGTCCAGGTAAAAAATTGAGAGTGGGGAAATGTCCCCGAAGTGGGACTTTTCCCTGCTCTTATCTTCAGGAAGTACTAGAGCTCCCCCCTCCTAGAGCTCCCCCCTATTTTCCGCCTTTTCTTGAATTAATTTTATTTAAATGGGATAAAATGAATTAAATATGATAAAAGAAATTAAATATGATTAAATGAATTAAATATGATAAAATGAATTAAATGTGATTAAATGAATTAAATCTGATAAATGTGATTGCACTGCTGGTGCCGAGTGCAAGTTGGATGGATTGGAGTCCACACTAGCCGCGTGAGACCAGCATCGTTCTACCACGCAGGAAGATGCTACGAGAGCTCCAGCTCCGGCGGCGGCGGCACTGACAGGGCTGAATTTAAGTGATCTTACCTATCCTAACCAAACCTAACGGGCTGGCGACGGATCTCACTCTCACTCGCGACAGATCTTTCTCTAGCTTGCGACAGATCTGACGAGTTACAGAAAGATCTGTCGCAAGTTAGAGAAAGATCCGTCGCGAGTGAGAGTGAGATCCGTCGCCAGCCCGTTAGGTTTGGTTAGGATAGGTAAGATCACTTAAATTCAGCCCTGTCAGTGCCGCCGCCGCCGCGCTGGAGCTCTCGTAGCATCTTCCTGCGTGGTAGAACGATGCTGGTCTCACGCGGCTAGTGTAGACTCCAATCCATCTAACTTGCACTCGGCACCAGCAGTGCAATCACATTTATCAGATTTAATTCATTTAATCACATTTAATTCATTTAATCATATTTAATTCATTTAATTCATTTAATTATATTTTATTTCTTTTATCATATTTAATTCATTTTATCACATTTAAATAAAATAATTCAAGAAAAGGCGGAAAATAGGGGGGGAGCTCTAGGAGGGGGGAGCTCTAGTACTGACCCCTTATCTTGAGCTGGCCTGACGAACCCAAGGAAACGACGGCACGGAGCCACCCGCGAGAGGTAACTTCAATTGTCAATTGTTAAACTCGCGCGCTTGCTACAAATATAAATTTGGTATGGGAGCGTGTGTTTCGTCATAGCCATTAGAGTGATAGCTATTTCGGGTTGGAAATATTAAAAAATTAACAGAAAAGGGCGTTTTTAACAACAGCAGGCTCTTTACCGACACTGGCGCCACCTAGCGGTGAGAAAAATACTTTCGGTTTTGTCTGAAGTCCCCGAAACGGAGTCGGATTAAATTGAATGTAAGACTGACTGTGAGTTAACCTAATGTTAGGTTTGAGGAAAGTTGTCCAATTTTCACTTTTGTTTGAACATATTTCAGAAATTAGTCTGAATCCGAAATTCAGACTCTTGAGGTCTGGAAAGTCTGACGCAAGTTTATCTGAATTTTGAGAATGAGTACAAATATCGAGACTCTTCGAGTCTGAACCAAGCTTTCAGACAAAGCGTCGAAGAACTAAGACAAAAACTCTGATTTTTTAGAATAAAGTCTGATTTCAAGATTCAGACCGCTAAGTCTGACAAAATTGGTCTGAATTTTCAGAATTTTTTTAACAGTGGAGCTGAGAGAGATCCCCGTGTACCATGCGACACCTAGCGGCAGACTTGCGAATGACAGGTTGGAGGCCCATATATCGGCGGGTTTTCAAAAAGCCACGGCGATTTTTCATGATTCTGACTCAAATTTTCTTGAGGAATCCGAATCTGGCCACCTTAAGTTCCGGTCGGGAGAGTAATTTCGGGAAAATATTTTTTTCCCGATTTTTACCTTTTTGACCCACTGTGCAACGCTCGAAGGAGCGCAACATTTGGTGGCGCTTGCTTGAACGCGTCGTCACGCTCCTGCGACGAGGAGTGTGGCAAGGGAAAGGGCGCCGACTTCCTTGCACTTCAAGTTTGTGATGCGCCTCTTTTAAGCGTGCGCTTGCGTTACTACCCGGTAAAAACGGTTCCTTGTTTTCCCAGGAACCCTATGGTAGAGACATACACTGCAAGAAGAAGTGTGAATAATACAACAAATGGACAACAAAAACTGTACAATAAAAGTACAACAGGGATTGTAGAAAGTACAACGAGAATTGTACAAACCACAACGAGCCCTGGACTGCACAGCACTCCTCATGCCGGTTCCATTGTACTTTGTACAACTATTGTTGTACTTGGAAAGTACACTAAATTCCTGATAAAAAATTTGCCAGAAATTTGTGTACTTTTGTTGTGGTTATTTCCTGCAGAGTAGGCGATTTCCAGGGAGTTCCTGGGAAAACCAGGAACCGTTTTTACCGTGGAGCCTCGAGTTGTTTACGTTGCGTTGCAGTCAACTGTGTATCTCATGATTTTAAAATAAACGGACCTCTTAAAATTTTGTGTGCTTTTTATGATGACCTTAGGTGCAGTAAATGTCTATGTCTGCTTCTCGGGTTGTTTAATTAGTGTGGTGTTTTGCATGGCTTCTTGCATGCTTTGGTTGTTGGTTGGTGCTGCAGTTCGCAGGCTGAGTCTCTTGTCCACGGTTCCTGCGGGTCAGCCCACCATGAGGACTAGGAGACTGGCCCGGCGTCCGTCGCACTTTTTCACTCTCTTGATTCTGAAGTCCGCCTTGCTTTCAGGCTCCGTGAAGGCGGAGGACCCAGAGAGCCCAGAGACTGGCGGCCGAGACCGCGGAGTGGACGAGGACGGCCATCCCGGAGGAGAGGGTGAGTGGGCAGCCTCCCGAGCGGCACTGCACTGCCATCGTCGGGTTCATTTTCACTTGTCTAATCTTGCTCGGGGCCTGTTTTATCATCGTGGCTTATTTATAGGCCGTTTACGGATGTAGAATGCATTGATGTTTATTCCACTCGACCTTTCAAGGACACACTGAAAAACGAAACCTTATCTAGACGACACCACTGGTGTGGTGAGATGGTTGCCGTTTCTGCTGCCTCATTTAAGTTTTTTGTGGTGTTTGGTCAAAACTGGTCTGTGGTCAAAACGTTTGCTGTGGACTTTCCATGCAATGACAACACCAAACGTGGTCTAGACCACAACTGATTCAGCTGACAAACTGATGAAGGCAAAATGGCACCTATTTGATTGCATCAGTTAGTTTTTCGGTGCATATTTCAATGAATGGAGCATACACTCTTGGTTTTAAATTATTGCTACCACTTTAATATAATCGTCTTTCAATGTGCCTTTGGCTTGTGCTGGTATTGCAGGCCCCGTCCCGGCAGAGACCCCGCAGCTGGTCATCAGCGGCACCTTCTCGCTGGCTGGCCCGGCCGGCGGTGCGGGGCAGGTGGAGCAGGCCTCGCGGCGGCAGCGAGGCGGGAAGGCGCGGCTCGCGTACAAGTGCGGGGAGTGCGGCAAGAGTTTCCGGGCCGAGGCGGACCTGCGGAAGCACCTGGCGGGGCACTCCAAGGCGGGGCGGCACGCGTGCGGAGTGTGCGGCAAGCAGTGGACTTCGGCTAAGGATCTGAAGAGGCACGTAAGGATCCATACCGGGGAGAGGCCGTACCAGTGTGACGAGTGTGAGAAGAAGTTCAACCGAGAAAGCATTCTCACTGCGCACAAGAGGATTCATACTGGGGAGAAGCCTTTCGAGTGTGACGAGTGTGGGAAGCAGTTTAACCGGGAAAGCAATCTAACTGTGCACAAGAGGATGCATTCTGGGGAGAAGCCTTTCGAGTGTGACGAGTGCAAGAAGAAGTTCTCCCATAAAAATGTACTAAAGGCGCACAAGCGCACTCACACTGGAGAGAAGCCGTACGAGTGTGACGTGTGTGCGATGAAGTTCAGTCAAGGATCTTCCCTCGCTAAGCACAAGCGGATCCACACTGGAGAGAAGCCCTACGAGTGCAAGATGTGCGGGGAGAAGTTCCGACAGCAGTCAACACTACGCAAGCACGAGCATTAGGGACAGTAGTTTAGTGTTAAGCTGTGCAAGTGCGGCATTTGTGAATGTGAATTTAAGCGTAGGTCACAGTGGCCCGGAGACTTTAAATTTGATGTGCGCAGCAAGTAGCCATATCCTCATGCTCGCAAGCGCAGAGTTTCGCGAATGCATTGCAAACAGTGTGCATGATAATTTTTTTCTTAGCGATTTCATGATCGTCTTTGACCTGCGGAGTTAAACGTACCGAGTTTACTTATTGGGAACAAAATTTTCGTGTCGGACAGAAACATTTTGTTTTTGACAATTCTCTTAAATTGTGAATTATATAAAGTGATTAATTATTGCTCCATGTGTGTTGTTGTCTTCCCAGAGACCCTGAATGTGCTTCAGCTCCGTAGAAGTTCACTGTCCGATTCTGAACTCCTGTCTTTCTGTTGCCGCGTCTCATTTTTGCGTTTTGTTGCTGGACCGGCACTCCCAGTGCACGAGCGTGACGGCACGTTGAAACGAACTTCAAACTATCACGCACCTGCATTCGTTGGAACGTGAATGCAGTTCTTGGTTGGTCCCGTAGTTTGCTGGCCGAATATCCTTTCCATGGCTTACCGCGGACCAGCCCGCCCTGGGCACTTGGCGACTCGCCCGGAGCTCGCCGCGCCTTTGCGCTTGCTAGTTCTGAACTCCGCTTTCATTCCAGGAAGGTACACGTTCCTGAAGAGAGCTGAAGAGAGTGTACTCATGAGTAAACTCTGAACAGAGCGTACTGAGTACACTGTTGAATTTGCAGAGTAGGGGCCCGTGCTGTGAACTTCGTCTCGACCCGCGCCTTTGAGCGATCAGGTTCAGCTCTGGACAGTAACGGCCGTTGAGCAGCGCGCTGCTGGTTCCTGACTTCTTGAATCCTTTTTTTCTCGACCCGAGGGTGGTATAATTCCTGCCTCTAATGACTTTTCCATGGTCGTGATTCGCGAAGCCTGTTACAAGACGCGGTCTGGCGTACACCTTCTTTGTCACGAGTACCGTTAGCTTCGAGAAAGAAACTTGATTCTTGAAAAGTGTAGGCAACAGCGTGTCTTGTCACAACAGGCTTCGCGGTGCATCCACGCGTGGCGTTAACACCCACCAACTGCTTATAACACTAAAGGCCTAACATTGATTATTGGCTTTCCAGGTTGTGCGCAGAATTGCATGAAAACGTTTTGCGGCGCCGCCCTGTTAATCTAACGGATGCCACTACTAGTCAATACTTTGAAAATACTATTGAATTCCGATGATAATTGAAGCAAAGACTAAATTTAGAATAATGTCAATGTTGAGCATGTTCCTATTACGGTTGAAATGAAATTGAGTTTTGCAACACGTCCTATACGGTTTCTCGCTTCCTGTTTCCAGGCAGCTGTGCATGATTGGTGGTGCTTGGTGACTTTGCGTGGCTTATCATGAAACTCAGATAAAAATCACATCTTGAAATGAGTAAATTCACATGGACCAAGGCAAATTGACTGCCCCCTGAAGTTTATTATCCTTGATCCAAGTCAATCTTCTGGTTTCAAGAATAGTGAGTGTGGTCGGTGGAGAGTCTTCAAGTCTTGGCAATTCATAAGAGCTTCATTCTGCCAGTCTGCTTGGGACTCGTGTAGCACTTCTTCTCGTCGCTTCCCTGGCCAGTTCCCTGAAGTCCGTCTTGCTTGCAGGTTCCGTGAAGGTGGAGCGTGAGGAACGCCCTTCGTTCGGAGGACGGGGTTCGCGACTGGGCGAGGACGCCGGCCCTGGAGACGGAGGCGAGGGTGAGTGGAGCAGCCAGGCCTTTGAGCTCGGTCACTTATTAGTGCCAAGAAACGAAGCATGCTTCGTTTTTCGGTAGTACCAATGCAGCTATCAATGCAGTGGCAAGTACACTCTAAAGTTGGCATGCCCTGAAGACTTTCATTCCAGGAACGTGACGTCACGTTGAAAGAATCGCGACAAAATGTCCCGTTCCTTTGAGCATTGAGTCACGTTCGTTTCAACGTGAATAAGCTAGTGTATGGCAGATTCACTTCCAAACGAACGTGACACAATGGTCAAAGGAAAGTGACACTTTGTCACATTCATATCAACTTACTTTTTTACTTTTTATAAGAGATTTATCGGGCATTGTTACATTACATATTCGCAGTTACACACACTAAATTATTATGGACTTCTTTATGCAAAGTTATGCATGCACAGATACGTCCATATGTTACGTACAATATAATGCATCACTGTGTACATTTTATGCAGGAAGACGCATAAAATGTACACAGTGATGCATAATTTTATACATACCTTATGAACGTTTCTGCGCATGCATAACTATGCATAAAAAAATGCGTCCTTATGCATTTAAAAATTCCATAAGAATTTGGTGTGCATTCAGTTGGGTCTGCCTTGTGGCTTTGCCCATCTTAGCTAATTTTATCTGCTAAAGTTATTCTAAACTGCTATTTCTAGGGTTCTAAACTAAGTTTGGGGAAGCCCTTCGGGGCTTCTGCACTGCAAAAAATCAGTGTCTGATACGGATCATGCTACTGCGTTCCGTATACCCCCTGAAATGGTGATACGGACATCTGCCGTACCACTCCTCTCAAAAAAGCCTGTGCTTCGTAAGCGTGGTTCAGAAATTTAACGGAAAATGTACCGCTAATTTTAGACCGGAGGTTGCCGTTTCGGTTTTCCGTTTGTGAGAAAGTCCAAAATCCTCTACGCACAGTGAGGAACGGACGCTCCGTAACGCAAATTTCTGTAACGGATAACGTAACGGCCAGTCCGTATCCCTTGTCGCGGTTTACCACCACCCCGGGCTGCTCTCGTGTCACTCGTTTGTGTCACACTCGAATGTGACAATGCTCAGAGGAATGTGACATGCAGCCACTTCCGATCCAACGTAATGTCAAGATCCTGGGATGCTCAAAACTCCATGTCTTAGGTTAGTCGAGATCTATGAGTGAAAATGTGCTCAAAATAAAATAAATTTGTTTAAAGTATCTATGATAATGATTGCATGGGTCCCTAAAAGTCTGCAATTAGAAGAGCTAGCTATCAGGAGTTGTGTTGGGCCCTGATATCCTTACTTTGAGTGATCTGCATGGTCGACCAAGTAAGCGCATGAGAGAAACGACAAAAAAACAGTCAATTAAAGGGAAAAATATGCCGCAATTAGACATGTTATAGGCTCCAGAAGAAAAAATTGTGGCGGGCCATCCAAACCCTCTTAAGGGAGTATGCACCAATAGTAGAGGAAAAGAAAAAAAAAGTTTGGCCAAAATCCATGATGACGTATTTTCAGAACGGTGAAATTTGTCAAATTTTCACCAAAATTCACCATTTTCACTACCCTTAAAACCTCCCAGATGGTTCTCAAACAACTTTTAATGCTTTTCCCACATTCCTAAACCCTCAAGAACACCTACAAAAAATTTTGAAAAAAAATTTTTCTTTTTACTATTTTTAAACTTATAAAACCATAAGACTGGTGCAAAAACTAAACCGTTCAAAAGTTTTTCAAAAAAGTTTACATGGTGAGTCAGGGGCCGATACCGAATCGATTGATACCACTTAGGTCGAAATCCGAGGACCTCGATTCCAAACCGTCGTTGGATTCACGTGGAATGTCCCTTGTGCACAGTGAGGTTTGACTGATCACTAAACTTCTTCCCACACTCGTCACACGGGTATGGCTTCTCCCCGGTGTGGATCCTTGCGTGCCTCTCCAGATCGGCAGCCCAAGTCCACAGCTTGCCGCACACTCCGCACGCGTGCCGCCCCGCCTTGGAGTGCCCCGCCAGGTGCTTCCGCAGGTCCACCTCGGCCCGGAAACTCTTGCCGCACTCCCCGCACTTTTACGCGAGCCGCGCCTTCCCGCCCCGCTGCCGCCGCGAGGCCTGCTCCACCTGCCCCGCACCGCCGGCCGGGCCAGCCAGCGAGAAGGTGCCGCTGATGACCAGCTGTGGGGTCTCCGCCGGGACGGGGCCTGCAACGCCACCACAAGCCAAAGGCACTTTCAATGACGATTTAATTGAGTAAGGAGAAATTAACCTGAACCAAATTGTATGCGAATCGGCAAACATTATTGAACTCTATGCTTCTTTCATAGTAAGATGACCGTGAAAAGTCGAGTTGATTAATACTGAAAGCATTTAAACTCCGTGAAGGGCACTCAAATTTGCCTCGATTATAAAACAGGCCTCGAAGAAGAGTGGAAACCGAAAGATACAACCCAGTGAACCTGACGATGGCAGTGCAGGCTGCCCACTCACCCTCTCCTCCGGGATGGCCGTCCTCGTCCACTCCGCGGTCTCGGCTGCCAGTCTCTGGGCTCTCTGCGTCCTCCGCCTTCACGGAGCCTGCAAGCATCCCAGGATCTTGACATTACGTTGGATCGGAAGTGGCTGCATGTCACTCGTTTGTGTCACACTCGAATGTGACAATGCTCAGAGGAATGTGACATGCAGCCACTTCCGATCCAACGTAATGTCAAGATCCTGGGATGCTTGCAGGCTCCGTGAAGGCGGAGGACGCAGAGAGCCCAGAGACTGGCAGCCGAGACCGCGGAGTGGACGAGGACGGCCATCCCGGAGGAGAGGGTGAGTGGGCAGCCTGCACTGCCATCGTCAGGTTCACTGCACTGAAAAAAATTTTCAATAGAATTTACTGTCATAATAATAAATTTTACTGAACGGCTCAGTGAATTTTCGACGTGAAGACCTGCCAATAGATTCTACTGAACAGGCCGCTCAGTGCATCCTACTGGTCCGTTCAGTAAATCGCATCGACCCGTTCAGTGGACGCTACTGGCGCGTTCAGTAGATCGCACTGCTCCGGTGTAGTACAATGTACTGGTCTGTTCAGTAGATTGCATTGCCCAGCAAAAGTATTTTGCCCCCAACGCCTCGTCTATCGCAACCCCCACCCCCCGCTCATTGCACCGTCTCCGCCGTACCCCTCTGCCTCTCACTTCAGTCGTATGACTTGCCACACTGTGATGGCAGCGACCCGGAGTTGAACCCGGGCCACCCGATCACAGCGCAACCGCCGTACCACTCGGCCATGCCTGCGCGTTGAGGACCCTGCCTCCAGAGACGGTACACGTGCACATCTGCGTCTGAGCGGCCCCGGCCAGTGCGCCTCCAGAGAAGCAGGGGTGGGGGAAGCGTGCGGGTGGAGCCAGGGCCCCATCGGGGGTGAGGAGGCAAGTGGTGGGGAGCGCGACGGAACAGCGCTTTGTAGCGTCCACTGGACTGCAATAGCATTTACTGAACGGCGCTTACTGAGCCGCTCAGTAAAGTATATCAAACCTCGTTTCGTAGCAGTCACTGCGCGA